CTGTGATGTGACCCTGTCTCTCTCTCTCTCTCTCTCTCTCTCACACACGTGCGCGCAAATAAAGTCATTCTCAAAATATGGTAACAAAAAATGTGACAAAAAACTCCAAAGATACCTTATTTTAAAGCAAAACATATAAACTCTAATAACATGTCATATGACATGGTTTGACTTTATATGCTTTTAAAGGGCATCTATTGTGCCCCTTTTACAAGATGTAATATTGGCCTGGTGTCTGTGAAGTTTCAGCTCAAAATATACCACAGAGCATTTATTTTACCATCTGGAAAATTATAGACAGCAAGGGTCCTACCACGTTGTTCAAGGCACAGAAAGGTACCAAGAGCGTCTTAGTCCATGTGACATCAGTGGTTAAACAGTAATTTTATGAAGCTACGAAAATACTTTTTGTGCGCAAAAAATAAATAAAATATCGACTTTATTCAACAATTCTTCTCCCCCGAGTCACCCTCTGCCTCTATTATGGCAAGTACCACGACGCATACGCATGCTTTCATTTGAACGTAAACAAGGCACAGCACATGCGTGCTCTAAGCCAGCAGCATCGCGTGCATGCATTGTTTATGTGCAGATCAAAGCACGCGCATGCGTTGTGGTACTCTCCATAATGGCGTTAGGGTGACGTGGAGAAGAATTGAATAAAGTAATTATTTTGTCTTTTTGCACACTAAAAGTATTCTCGTATAGCTTCGTAAAATTACGGATGAACCACTGATGTCACAGACTATTTTGTCAATGTTTTTGGTACCTTTCTGGACCTTGAACGTGGTAGGACCCTTGCTGTCAATGGAGGGTCAGAAAGCTCTCAGATTTCATCAAAAATATCTTAATTTGTGTTCGGATAATGAACGGAGGTCTTACTGGTTTGGAACGACATGAGGACGAGTAATTACTGATAGAGGGCCCTATCATACACCCGGCGCAATGAGGTGCCAGGCATTTTTTGCTAGTTTCAGCCCGACGCAGTTGTCATTTTCACGTCCTGCGCCACATTGTTTAAATAGCAAATGCATTTGTGCCCATTGGCTGAAAACGAGGTGTGTTCAGGCGCATTGCTGGCGCGTTGCTATTTTGAGGCAACTCATATAGACTGCGCCATTGACCAACAAAAACCTGGTCTAAAGTCTGGCGCAATATTTATTTATTTTTATTTAAAGAGTGCGTTAGTAATATGCGCCTATAGGTGGGTGCACAATATACGTGCACGAGCAGATCCGTTCCCTCACTAGAGAAGCACTCTGTTTTTCCGCTTGCAAATTCTGCCATGTAAATAGCGAATCCGCCATGGCGCGAGCGCAACTGGCTTTTATAGGGAATGGGAGATGAGACTCTGATTGGTTTATGGCACGTTACGCCCAAAACACACCCTAGCAAAAGTGGATTCGGACACGCCCCAAGCGCAATTGCGCCGTGTGCTTTAGAACATGCGCTTATATCGTTAAAATAGGGCCCAGAATTTTCATTTTTGGGTGAACTATCCCTTTCGGTCTTACATCCAAACACAGTTGTTTTTAAATGGTCCCTTGTCTCCATCTGGTACAACACCTACAACATTTACTATTATTTTTATTTTTTTTACTCATTGTGTTTTCTCAGACTGAACGTTAGTGTAAAGTCTAAAACATGCAAAAAAAGCTAAATAAGATTTATATTATATAATAATACAAATAATTTAAAAGAGCATTTGCCCTATGTCATGTATTAGTGTTAGCTGCGTTTAAAGGGGTCATATGATGCTTTTTTAAAGATCATTATTTTGTGTATTTGGTGTAACAGAATATTATACTTAGTATACTTATTATTTTGGGGAAAAAAAAAAAATTTTTGAAAAATACTTCTGAGATCAAAGTTCAAGAGGAGGCTCTTTTGGTTTTGATTTACCCAGTTATTAACTTACTTCTAAATGTACTTTTCTCATGCTAACTCACAGTGATATTACACTGTTTAATGTTGGTGCAAAATATTTTTATCTTAAAAAATAAATAATTAATAGTAATGGATAATTGATTTAGCCAAATCAGTAGGGGAGGGACAATATGGCTCTTTCATGATTTGTTTTCATATATAATATCAGGTTCACACTTTGAAATTTCTTGATTTGATATTAAATGACACAATATAACAGAAAATGGTGTTTATTTATTTGGTGTTTAATATCTGAGTGATTCTGATACCACTGACTGTGAATCTTTTTGACTGACTCACTAAAAAGAACTTGTACACAAGAGCAATTTTTCCACACAATAACAGTTTATGCTGTGTTGTTTGTTGGTGCAGGAAACACTGGCATGCCATCTGATATGAGATAAATATCTTTAAGAATGGTTTGAGAATATTTCCTACATGTAAAAGATGACATTGCTGAGACAGTGTCATAGTTTTTACATAACTTACTTATCGTCTTTGTCTTGTCAGTTACCCATGTGCTGCTTACATGTAAGGCTGGTGATATCAGCGTAGATGCAGCGTTCTCAATGACTGTGTCTGCAGCCATTTCCAAACAATGGAAATGTGTTTGGTAAAGTAGGGCTACTGTTGTACACATGACAACCCTCTGTTGTGTGGTCGAAGGAGTGTGGAATAAAGCGACTCTACTGAAGGACACTCCAAACTGACATGCAAATGCAAATATACATCTGTTATACTCCTGCCAATAAATAAGTCAACCATTATAACATCTTCCACCTAAACAATCTCAAAGAGAAGCACAGTGAGCTGAAGCCAGAATAAGCTTCAGTCGATTATCCCTCAATAAAACGTGTGTGGTTCCGCAGACCAGCTACTAAAGTCCACAAACTAATACCTGCACAAACATTTGAACAACAAATATTTATCCACACAAATCCCTACCACGCCTCCAGACCATTTACACGGACTTGAAAAGGAGGATATTTGAAAATCTTGCCATTAGCAGTTTTCCAAATTCTTGCCCTATTGCCAAATAAAAGTTGAATTATCCACTTTGAGGAAAAAAAAACATGAACTCTTTGAAAACAGTAATGCAAAACTTGTGAACCTACACAAGACTCATCTGACCTAAACAACCTGTTGTAAGACAAGCATGCAAGCAAACTGTTAAGATTAATAATTTAACTGACAGAGGGTCTAACAAACAAACTGTGGCAAACATACATATTGACAGACCAAAAGGCACCCACGTACGGAGAGGTCACAACCTGACACACATTAACAGATAGATGGCAATGGGAGGCAATACTCACGTGGCTTCTGGCCCCATACGTGCAAATGGAGCTTTCCAGAAGAGTAGTAGATGAACCCCAAGACCAGCATGGGACACAGGACGAACAGTAGTTTGTGTGCAGGCTTCATGTTCCTCAACTATTCACATGGTACCGTGTTTTTATATCACCTAGGAACAGGACAGAAAAATCCAGGGAAGCTGAATCACACATTCACAGCATGCAATGAAGCAGACAGACTCTCATTATTAAAGGGATCCTATTATGCTTTTTACATTTTCAACTTCCTTTAGTGAGTACTGTTGCTGTTTGAGCACGAGAAGGATCTGCAAAGTTACAAAGTACAAAGTACAATCCAAAGGGTGAAGAGTGATGAGCCCGGCTCTCCGTTACTCAGAAATGTGCAACGCTTCTGCTGTAGATTCATTTGGATCTATTTTCGTTTTTTGATATAGAGCAAAAACAGGCAATAATGTGTCTGAAATGTAAGTCACTTAATATTAACTTCTTGTTTCTAAACTGTACGAAATCAATTTCACATTTACAATCTGATATTTGGGAAAACAGCTCTCCTCTTTCTTTGATATTACTTAACTGAATGTAAAAAAACAAGAAATCATACATACAAAAGTCACTGGTCACTGTTAATGCGTGAGAAAACGGAAGTGTGGAGTGACAGTCCTAAATGTTTGAGTCTCAGTATTGTTGGCAGCCCTGGGCGGTCCAAGCATGCATTTCTGCATGTTCATGCAGTGTTGTGTTGCATCACATTTTGTTAAGGGTGAGCAAGCATGGCTGTAAAAAGGGTTCGAAATTTAATAGGGTCTGGGGTGGTGTTAAGAATTGTGTTATGATAACACCTAAATGGAACTCATCATATACACTACATATAAACTTGCAGATGTAGATGTTTGTGAAAGGTTTTCTCTGTTTTGGGATGGGTCTTGTTAAATTAGACCTTATTTACTGCTTCAAAATGTGTTAATACTTTACTATAGGTTAGGGGTCGATCATTTTATTATTCATGCAACAATACTTGTTACTGTAATAGTTTTCATTAGTAAGCATTGCTATATGATTTTTGTCTAGTGCTCTTATATTTTGGCATGACTCTGTGAAAGGTAAACTACTACTTGTTCTACAGATCTGTGTACTAGTGTTATTATGCTACTGTTTTTTTTTATAGTATTGATACCGTTTCTTACAGATAATATAATGATGATCATGGTTTCTTTTTTTTTTTTTTGAAAGAAACTGATACTTTCATTCAGCAAAAAATACATTATATTAATTTTAAAAAGGCAGTAAAAACCTTTATATTGTTACAAAAAATATATTTTAAAATGACATTTATAAACAGTACAGTTAGTTATTTTAAACTTTATTAATATTTCACAATATTATCTTTTTATTGTATTTCCTAACAAATAATTGCAGCCTTAGTGACCATAAGAGACTTCTTTCAAAATCAAAAATGGACTGATTTTTGATCGCAGTGATCGTAGCATAATGCATTTGGAAACTATGTAACAAGAAAACTGAATTTAAAAAATATATATTTGCTGACATGGAAAGTACAACACACAAGTCTAAAAGAACATTTACTACTTTATGTTAAAAGGAAAAAGCTTGTAATATTTAGAAATAGAGACTACAGAGAAAACAAATAAGTAAATAAGAGAAAGTAAACTGACCCACCATCAAAAACAACCACATTCAAGAGCAGAGCTACTTTTTTTTATTATAGCAGCAACAGGTGTAACAGGATAACAAACCATGCACATCATAAATAATAATCAATTAAATGTGTTCTTACTGCAAACTGTATCACAAAACCACCAACAACGTAAGTAAACATCCCCAAAGGGAACAATCTCACTTTGGGTAAACTAACTGATGTTTAATGTATGAAGTCAGTTCCCCTCGAGTTCACACGGGCGTCTCAGTACATTAACAACAGGCATAGTTCATCACATTAAGTAAGTAGGGTCCTATGAATAGACAAACAATTTAATTAATTAAAATTTTAACAATAATTGTGGCCTATGATATGCATTATTTCTTTCAGAACTGTATTGCACTGTATATCATTAATGTTATTATTACTTTTAATTTGACAGGCTATAGTGAAGAGCCTTGAGTTTCTGTGTATATCTTATGATAGTTTCATCATAGAACATGCAGACTTCATATTTCAATCACTTGTCTTTATACAGTTTAATATTCACAGACACTAGTCCATCCATATTGAGATTTAATTCATTGTAAAGTGCTAGGCCTACTTTTTAAATTATTCATCCAAATTTTGCCAAATTCTGTGATGTTCACAAATTCCATTTTTATGACTGGATTCAGCGGTTCTGTCTGTGTTTTCCGCATCGTGGAAATCATAGGATCCTAATGAACATGTTCCACTAACATTTGAGAACTGTCCCTTTTACTTCATACACAAACCAGCTCTCAAGACAAACACAACGAAACAATACGTTTTGGCGTGTCAAAACAAAATTTTGTAAAAGTAATGACAATTTTCACACTGAGATTTGGAGCCAAAATGCAAGGATTAAAATGACCTTAGAAATATGCCAGTATCATCATGTTACTTTGTACATGGAGACTAGTACAATAGGTCTATTAGTCAAATCTATTGACTTTAGCAATCTTTGTTACATTATACGCCAGTGGTGACAGTTCAAAAATTGTGGGATCTCAATATGGTTCCAGGAGTAAATTGTTAAACTGAACACATTTTCAGTGGTCAAAAATCAAACGTGCGTCACTTTGCATACAGCTGATACTTTTTTTTTGGTTTTAAAAAGACAAATTTAAAAAAAAAATTTTTACAAAATAATATTGAAACTATAAATATTTCCTCCTATCAAAAAAATTGCATAGAACATACCTGAATGCCATTTTTTTTTTCAACCCAAAGTTTGCATGCCTGTCACTCAAGAAGTAGCTTATTAATGATATCTCCATATGATTTTATATTCTGGTTCTTAATAAACTTTTCTTTTGGAATCTTCATTTTAAGGCTCTATATTCAGTCTCAGATATATGGAAATCTCCATGTCAAAATTGTTATCCATTTTCAGTGGACAAAAAAACAAAAACAAAAAAACCACCAACAATTTTTGGTCACTTTGCATACAGCTGATACTTGCTGTATTTTTAAAGTGGAAAGTCTGAAGAACAAAAAATGTTAGCCTTGAAATGTAGCTTGTTTTCCTCTATCAAAACAATTGCATAGAACATACATGTCTGTGTGCTAAAAAATACTAAAATGGTTAAGTTGAGGCACATTAACTTGCTCTCAGTAGTCTATTCATAAGATTCTATATTTTAATCAGTTTCCGAGATATTTGGAAGAAGGGATTCTGTTAATTTTAACAGCTTCCAAAGCTACCAAGAGTTCAAATATGCAATATTGTTAACTAGGTCTACATGTTTGAAACAAATTTTATGCCACCTAAGTGTAGGCTAGTTGCTGTCCCCACACATTGTATTCACAACAATAAACAAAGATTTGTCTCACCTGGACTGTTTAAGTAGAATTTCCTATAGTTACAACATGTAAAGCATAGATCAAGACGTATCCAGTGCTAGGGTGCACATTTTGTAGTACCTCAAACTTTAAAATATTTAAGGTCTCTCACACTTGAAATAATTAAGACTGGGTAATTCTAAACCCTGAGCAAATGTGATTCTGGAATATCATATTTAATGTTTCACATTACTCATACTTTAACCGGAGTTAACAAATAATCCTGGTTATTCATAATCTGACGTGTGACTCTATACATTCCTAAACCCTGGATTACTGTTCTTATTTGCATATGTGTCAACAGTCATGACTAGCAACAATTTTCACATTTTTTTCAATCATTAAAATGGGCAGGATTCAACAATTTGTACATACAGCCACATTGAGAACCCAATAGCTCTAGAATTTAACATTATCGGACCTTAAAAATGAAGATTACAAAATAAAAGTTTATTAAGAACCAGAATCTAGAAGAACATTAAGATATCTTTAATAATTTCTGGTAGTATAGACATGCAAACTTTGAACACCAAAAGGTATGTTTAATACAGTACAACTTACTAAAATGTATCATGTCTCATGTAATCACTCAGTCAATGTCTCAACCATGGAAAGATGCCAATAAAACAGCTTGTGATCAATACATCACTTAACATTTACCCCAGGAAAGTTATCTAGTGTTCACGGTTAGTTAGTTGAAGAACAAAAAGTATATATTATATAGTGTATATATATATATATATATATATATATATATATATATAAACGCCAGAGGGAGCTTATTTACTCTTAATTATTCATGCATATTTGAATAAATCTTATATAAAAAAAATAAAATAAAAAAAAACTACCTTATGTGCAATTAAGTTGTATACAAACATTTACATTTTAAGTGTTATTATTATATCTAAAAAGAAACAGTAGTTAAATATAATAGCTTAGGCACTGTACTTCATTATAACCTAATATTATACTAATAATATACAAAATGAGAGCATTCCCTGTATAGTTTACAGCATTAGTTGGGCAAGATATTTTTCCTTAAACCAAACTATCGTCATTATAAATAATCAGTAATGGCTGAGAAATTTAGTATCGGTATATCCCTAATATTTTTGGCACTAAGGCGTATGTTCTGTGCAACTGTTTTGATAGAGGGAAACAAGATACATTTCAACATTATTTGTTTTTCAGACTTTTTTTTTTTTTACTAAAAAGAAATGTGTATGCAAACAAAGTGACCCACATTTGGTTTTGGACCACTGAAATTCTGTACAATTTCATCAAGGAACCACATTAAAATCCCTGTATCTCTGGAAATTAACCACATAGGGCCTTAAAAATGAAGATAACAAAAGAAACCTTTGTTAAGAACTGATATAACAGGATATTTTTAATACGCCTTCAGTCACAGGCATGCAACTTGGGGGAAAAACACACAGGAAGTGCTTTTTATTATTTTTGAATACAAAACAGTTCGTTTGTTTGAAAACAAAACTACAACAATACATTATTAATCCATCCATCAGGGCAAAAACACAATTGTTCATTTAATTATTTTTTCTTCTTCCTAATAAATGGGTACAAAATGTGCACTCAGAGATTAATAACTCTGGACTAATGAGTTTGTGAAAAGTGGAGGCCTGCAAGTATTTTGTCTGCTAGGGTTTGACAGTAGACTTCTAATAAAAGAAAATAATTGTTCAGTCATTCTGCCATCATTTATTCATCCTTATGTTGTTTCAAACCTTTAGTTGTTTAGCACAACATTCACACTGCTTTCTTCTATACAGTGAAAATGAACGGTGACCTGGTGCTTTTAAATGCATTATAAAAGTAGTCCATACGACTCAAGTTATATTTGTCATCTGAAGCCATACAATAGCTTTGCGTATAAGGAACAGTTCTCAAACATCATTCACATCTGTTTACACATTCAAATAGGCCAGCAGGGGGGATATTTTCAGCAAATAACTTTCTTCATAACTGTTCTTCACACAAAACTATGGTATGACTTCAGAACACTTGGAAAATAGTGCAGAACTAGTATGAGCCACTTTCATGACACATCATTTATGGTTCATTTTTGGAGCTTGACTGCTACTGGTCATCACCCACTTACACTACACATAAGAGTAGCACGAACATTCTGCTAACCACTCGTTTGATGACATGATTGAAAAACTTACAGGTTTTCAACAACACATAAAGTTAGCCCATGGCAGTCTATCAAATAGAACGGAAACAATTCATTGTGTGGGGAAAAACGTAGCACCTCAAGGTTGATCAAAGTCTGTTATGATAAACCGATCAAATCCTATAAATTTTATTCTCAAGAGTATAACAATCATTTAAAACAACAATACGTGCTGTAGAGATTGTTCTCCTGTATGAAACCTAAAAACCTAAAAGTCAACAAAGAATGCATGCAAATAAATGTAAGCCTTTCCCCTCAAGTTCACACAGATGTCCCAGCAGAGTAACCGGTGAAGCAACCACAGGTGAAATTCAACACATGAACTACGAACATCATGTTCAACTAATATCTGATAACCAAAAAGTGAGGCAATACATTTCATCTTCATTATGTTGAGTACATCTATTGTTAACAATTTAAAACCTAAATACTTTTGTGAAATGCTCTGCATTAAAAGTATAAATACCACTTGGTTAGATACTTTACCAAAACA